CGCCACCCTGCCCCGCCGCTGTCTGCGGCCCGGCCCGGCTCCAGGTGAGGTCCGGCGCCCACCTCCGTACCCGGAGTCCCCAGGCGTGCCGCCCCTGCCGCGGGGTCTCTGCTGCCCTGGGGTTCAGTATCTGCCTTTTCCCCCGAGGACAGGAGAGGAGTTGCCCTTCCTCTCTCCCCCGCACTATCTACTCGCCCGTTTCTGCCCTGTCCTCTGCGACCGGAATCCGGAGGCTTCTCACGCTTCTCCGCCATCCTCCCGGGTCCCCCTCCTATTCTAAGCCCAGGATCTCCCCCTCCCCCGCGCCTTCCTCGCCGGAAAAAAAATCTCTCGCGGTCTGGGTTTCGCCTCCTCCCCTCGGAACTAGCGCTTTCCCACGCCATCCTAACCCCAGTGGGAGGGGGAGTAACCACCACCCCAACTCTTCCCCGTAGTAAGTGTGGGGAGGGGGAGCAGCATGTGCTACAGCCACTATCTGGCCCTGCTCGGATCAGCCCAAGTTCAGCGGAGTCTCCTCTAAAGCTTTCCTGCCGTAGCCCTCGTCACACCGCACTTCTAGAGTTTGGGGTCGGACCTCCGCACCGACTATTGAGCCCAGGTGGGAAGGGCCAGGTTCTGGGGTTGGCGGTTCTAGGAACGCCCCTCCCCAGTATCAGCGACTGGGGGTGGGGGCGCTGCCTGAATCCTGTGTTTCTGGGCTTAAAGGGCTATTGGGGGAGAAAAGGTGGGGGCTGGGGCTAAGTCTAAATTGGGGTAGTGTGGAAGGTGCTGAGGCCCAGGCTGTTCTATTCAGATGCAAAGGGATTCCCCCACCACCGGGGAAATAGGGGCTTTCTCCATCTTCTAGGACCTCCAGGGAGAGGCCCTTTGGGAAGTTTGGAAACTCTTTTGAGTCTGAGGGGGCACGTGCTGACAAGGAAAGGAAAAGAGGAGGAGTTATGGTTCTTTTGATGTATTGTGGGAGAATCTGGCCTCTAATGTAAAGGGGAGGGCCTGTTTTGCTCTAACTTGGGGAGGGGAAAGGGTTGTACTTGAAATGGTTACCGGACTGAGAGCTATCTCCCTACTTGACCCGATTAACACGATGATCCATTCAGTCAGTGAGGGGAGGAGAGGATTTTAATAATTATCCCACCTCCATTGGGGAATTCCTTCTCCTCACCCCCCCCAAGTCCAGCTGCGGCCCTAGCTCTGCTTATTCTCTTGTGCTTTCATTCCCCACACCCTACCTCCAGAATCAAGGGACAGGGTGTCAGGGTTTGCTTCAGAGTGAGTCATGCTCCAGGGAGTTGTGGGGAGGAGAGGGTGGTCTGCAGTGTGTTGGGGTTGGATGCCAGGAGTATGTGGACTGGAAAGGGGGTGCAAACAAGCCCTCTCTTTCCCCTCCCAGCCCAGCCATCTGGCTCCATAGAGGAGCCAGGCGCTGTGGCAGCTGACCCCAGAGTCAGGGCGGTGCAGCAGGAACACAGAGAGGGTGAGAAAGGAGGAGCAGGTGCTAATTTCTCCCACCCCATTCTCTTCATTATTGGTGGACTGACCTAGCTTGGGGGAGATTCAGTCTATTCCTTAGACACTGCTCACAGGTTGCTGATAAAATGACCATTTGCTCCTTCTCCTTTCTAGTAGCTTCCTATAGAGAGATGGACTGGTGAAACGGGAGGTGGGTGTTGGTGGGTGTCAGCCACATCTGATGTGATTGAGGAATATTTGGGGACATTTAGGGTCAGTCTGCACTGTCATCTGGTTGGAGGGAGAAGCACAACTGCTGCAGGAGGTGGCTTCTGGCAATAAGCAAACACCCAGCTGTTGGGCATGTTGGTATCCCACCCTCACCCTTTCTATCAGAGCAGGGATGAACTCTGATTCCATGCGATGATGCTGGGTCTCAATTAGGAACTAAGGTCTTCCTGAACCAGGTGGGAAGAATGAATCTTGCCCTGTTTTCTAATTCAAGGGGGTCTTCTGTCCAGCGCTCCTCTTCTCAACTGCTCTTGGCTGGGACTGTCCTAGGGGTTGCTTGGAGACCAGACGTAGGGCTCGGAAGGGGTGGGGGCAGTCAGTGGGGCACAGGAGTAACCGGCTCTTCCGGAGTTGAGTGGAGCCAGCGGTGGGTGTGTGTGGGTGTGTGGTGGTGGGGAGGGGGCGTGGCTACACCCGTCTGACTGGCGTAGGCTCCACCCCTGCCTGCTTAAGTCTGACTGGTTAGCCTTAGATTGGCGTTGGGAGGTGAGATCCTTCTCCCTGTCTGCCCTAGAAAAGGGATACTTCCACCCTGGCCCTTCAAGTGTCAGTTCCATGCCCTGAACTCTCTTCTTCACCTCCCTTTATTTTTTATTTTGGGGGTAGGGAGGCGTTCCTCAACAAAAGTTTGCTGGATCCCTCTGTTCTCCAGAAGGTTGGACACCTCTCACTTGAATGGTCTGTACTTTTGCGGGACTTGAGATCAACAGGCTGTGAGGGGGTGGGTCTTTGTTTCTCCTGAGGTGATTTATAAATCTTGTTTTGACAGGAGAGAAGGGTTTTAGTTTTTATCTTTCTCCTCCTCTGGTAATCTACTTATCTCATGAGAGAAACCCCCTTAGCCTCTTCTCTGGAGCCCACACGTTTGTGAACCTTTGCTAAAGCTAGCATCTTTGTTATCCGCTGAGCCATTTGCACTGCTGTGTGGAGTCTTGTACCCAAAATTCACAAAGAACCCATCCCTTTGTGGAGTAAAAAAATCCAATGTAGGGACCAGCATAATGGTTACGTGGCTGGACTCCCATGTAGTCAACCACAGGTTTGAGTGCCAGAATCAGCCGCTTAAAACTCACACCTGGCCCTTGTGCATTCCCCAAATCCTGAAAGAATGGAAAAGGGATTTCAGAGTGGACACACACACACACACCCCCGGGGGTGTGTGATTTCTCACACTCTGTGTCTCTCTGGGGAGCACACAGACCCAATAGCAAAAATCTCTCTTGAAAAAGAAAAAGAAAAAGAAAATCCGATACAAACTGATTTTGGTCCTGCCCTGTCCTCTTCTCAGACCCCAGAGAAGATATTTGTTGACACTCCCCAGTCTGCCAGAGTTCCATACCCCTTTTGTCTTTTGCTCTCCTAGATATTTAGCCTGAATTTCTCAGTTTAGGCATTTTTATCCACTGTTTAACCTTGACCAAGCCAGTGAACTTTCCTGGGCCTTAATGTCTTCATCTGATAAAGGAGAGGAGGTTGAACTAGAAGTTTTCTAAGCTCTAATAGCATATGACTGACTATCCTGAGGCCCTTCAATAGGTATTTTATATGATATTTCAAATTCTAGTCCTCTGATATTATTTTCTTATTCTCAAAAATTTTTTACACAGTTCTGTAGCCTTTTGGGAAAAAATACTGTAGCTATAGAAGTGGACATTTGAGGTATAGTATTGGCTGATCAGTTTTCTGCTTATCCTTAACCCCTCTCTCTGCATTAGACTAGACTCAAGTATTTGCTTTCTGGTCCCAGAACCGAGCCTTCTTTCCCCATGCAGGAATTTTTCCGATGCCCAAAGCACTGCAGATGTCACCAGAGAAGTGGTGATCCAAGCAGGACCAGGCTGCCCCGACCTAAGAGAGGTGAGTGGGCAGTAGACTCTTGCCTCTCCACCCTTTACCAGGACTGAATTGCTCCCTGCCTAATATTTCCCCTTCTACTTTTCCACTACACTTGGGAAATCAGTGCCCTGAAAAGATCTCCCAGCCTCTGCCTCTCCCCCCAACTCCACTTTAGTGAGTGGCACATGCCTGTGGCCCTAGAGAGTCGTCCTAGGACCACAGGCACACCTTTCAGATTGTTCTGTTGAAGCCGGATTACAGCCCGCGAGGGGGGGGGGGGGGGGGGGAGCTGCAAAGGTGCGTGCGGGGCCAAGGTTGCGGGACACAGCGGCGCTAGGACCCAGAATCGTCGGGAATGGAGCGGTTGGGCGCTAGGACCCCGTGGCGGAGGGCAGTTCTCTCTGGGCCGCACTAGACCCCCCTCCCCCGACCGGCGTTTACTCCCCTCCTGGCACCCCTAGCGTGGCCATGTGAACCGCCAGTACCCCGGGGAGAGACGAGCCCCGAGGCCGGCCGGACGCGTCTCCTCAGGCATGTGGGGTCTGTGGCCGCGGCCTGAGGGGAGGAAGCCCCGCTTTCATCTGAGGCTTTCCTCAGGGAACAGAAGCTCTGGTACCGGTTTGACCCTCGCCTGGGGCGGGAAGCATATTTCCTCTCAGGAGCCTGCCCAAGGCGGAGGTCTCCCTGCCCTGGGGGCTGGGAGGAGACGAGGCGGGCGGCTGAGGCCCCCGCCGTGGGGGCGGGAGGAGCTGTGGAGGCTTCCTGGACGAGGAAGGCGATGAGGCGGAGTAGCCGCCCTGGCGGAGACTCCCCGGGCCTCGGGGTGGAATCCCCGGGAGGGGCTCCACCTCCTCGGGTGGGGTGAGGGTTGCCCGAGTGCGAGAGGTGGGTGAGGGAGTTCCCCTGGATGGGTTAGACACTTCGCATTTGGGGAGCGGAGCGTTTTGGCCTCAGTGAGTGGCAGACAGAAGGGGTTTGCATGGGTCTGAGGGTGTCTCCTTCGGGGAGCGCGCACATTCTCTCTGCCTCGAGAGTAGGAGCGGGCCTTACTGGGGGTGCCGCTCTTAGCTTGGAGCCTTCGCGTCCTGGCAGAATCCCCCACCCCGGGGACGGGAGTTGATAGGGCCTATGCTGAGGCGTCCGGATTTGAGCTACGCTGAGGGAGTGAGGAGAATAAAGAGGGATTCCTTTCCAAGGGGATCCCCGTTTTCGTAGCAGAAAAGATGATATTGCAGCATCCCTTTTTTCCCCAGTGTTCCTAGTTTTCAGGGGCAGGCAGTGCTTAATAGCAGTCATCCTTTGTAGGATTTATTGGAGTGGGGGATTTGTATTTTGGGGGGGTTAGCTTCCACGTCCATCTGTACACAAACAGCCCCTCCCCCCCAGTCTCCCGCAGGAAGTGGCCGGGAAATGGCAGCTGTGCGTTTTTGCTGCTGCGTCTCTTGTTGTTTTGAAATGTCCATTTTAATCTGATTTGGTTTCATTTTCTGAGGCCTTTTGGGCATGCTTGGATCCTGCCAACCATGTGGTGTGAGAAGCCCTCCATTGGACTTTTTTTTGGGGGGAAACTTGTCAACTGGAAGTAGTCAACTGCAGTTGACTCACTAATCCTCTCTCCAGAGCATTTCTGCCTCTGTGTGGATTTTTTTTTTTCTTCCGTGAGCTAGAGGTCATAGAGAAGAAAACTCATCCACCAGAAGGTTACACTCTCAATAGGAGTGATGCAAAGTTCCTCCGTATAGAAAACTGCTTGGAAGACTTGGAATCTTTTGTGGAATGAGAGTGGCTCCTTAGGATTCTGCTTAGTTTGTTTTTAAGTATGACAGTTTTTGTATTGCAGAATGCTTGAGCAGATGAGCTTGTGAAGCTTAGAAGAGTAGATTTTGAGAAGTGGTGGAAGGGGTGGGGAAAATTTTAAGTATGAATGGGATTTGTATGTTGAAGTAGGGACCAAATTTACATAATGAGTGATGAGTTTGTTCCTTAGTAGTTATTTTAGCCTAAGGATAGTCCCTTGGGAAGCTGTTTAGTTGACTTGGGGTGCTGGATGTCTTACCTTCTGCAGAAACAGCTAATTTACAAAAAGAGAGTTTCTTATCACATGACTACTTCTTAGCCCATAAAAGAACATCTCATTATTTTTCTTGAAGAGTGGTAAGCTTTCTGTGCTAAGTCTTGCACCCAGATTTTCTCACTTGCTAACTCCAAATTTGTCCAATAGCTTACAGTGATGGGTAGTGTACTGTGTCCTCAGACAGTTTTTTTCCTCCACACTGAATTTGGTTAGGCACAAGGGTTGGATACAGGATTTTAAGTTTTGAGAGATTAAGTATTTTTTTTTTAGGAATCATTTTATTTAACTTTCTTTATTTTAATTTGACCAGAGAGGAACAGACACAGAGAGAGAAAGCAAGCCCTCAGGTCCGTGACTCGAACTGTAGTTGGCCATGTGGGAGCCCAGTGCCCTTAACTACCATACCATACCACCTGCCGGCCCTCTGGAAAGATTAAGTATTAAAATAATTTGCACTGTCATGAAAACTAAGTAAACCTGGCATTTAAATATTCTTTTCACTGTTTTCCATTCAGTAATCTCCCACCTTGATATAGATCTCTAGGTTAAAGATCCAGGATAGACAGACATTCCATGGTATAAAAGTAGCATCACACACACACACAAATAACATCTTTTTTTTTTTTTTTTTCCACTGGGGCTCTTGGGATTGTTGATATTCTTGAAGTAGTAAAAAAACAATCCATCAGACTCAATGTCCTTTTTCTTTTTTCTGTGTCAGGTGGGGTTGGTTCCTTTCAGTAGCTTTCAGATAAGGTTGATTTGATGCTAATTTTTAAGTTCCCCTTTCTTCACTTACCTAAATTGGGTCTGGTAGAATAATAAATTGATTTTCTTTAGTGGAAGTTACAAGTGAAGAAAGGAAGGACTGTTTATTCTTTGGATTCTTTAAAAGATGTAGTGACCGATTTGAGAAAATAGTAACTTTATTTGATAATATGACTTATCCAAAAGCTGAATGAAACAAACCTTTCATAGCTTTGTAAAATGTTTATATTTTTAGAAGTAATTTTTTTTTAAAGAATTATTTCATTTAACTTATTTTAATTTGACCAGAGAGGGACAGAGCGAGACAGAACGAGAGAGAAAGTGAGAAAGCAAGCTGCTATGTCTGGGACTTAAACCATGGTCGGTTATGTGGGAGACCAGCACCCTTAACCACCATCCCACCTGCTGGATCCAGTAAATTTCTTTTTTAAAAAATAATTTATTGGGACCAGCTGTTAGCGTAATGGCTATGTTGCTGGACTCCCACGTAGTCGACCATGGTTCGTGTCCCGGACCCGGTGGCTTAAAACTCATGCTGGACACGTGTGCGTGCATGCCCAAGATCCCAAGAGGAGAATGGAGGAGAAGGGATTGCGGTGTGGCCATCCCCCTTGGGGGGGTGATTTCTCGCTTTCTGTCTCTGTCTCTGTCTGCCTGGCAAGCGCATGCGCCCTATAGCAAAAAAAAAAAAAAAAATTATTATTATTTAATTTACTGTAGCACACATACATGTGCCAGAGAGGAAGAGTAAGTGCAAAAGCAAGCTGCCAGGTCCAGCACTCAAACTGTGGTTGGCCATGTGGGAGTCTAGCACTTTAAATTCCACATCATCTTCTGGCCCCAAAAGTAGATTTCTTAATTTTGACCCTTTTCTGGTAGGCCTCTCCCTTAAAGAAAAAAAATCAAGGTATGAAGAGAATTATGTGGCCTCACCTCAGAACCTGTCAGAAATCTAGAATGCTATGAGAGGCTGGCTCTCATCTTGCAGTCTATAGTTCTGGAATCAGGTGTTGCCAATAGAGAAGCAAAGCTTATTTAAGGGTTACTGACTGTGTCTAACTTCTGTGTACCTTTCTTGTCATTTTTGAACAAATCAAGAACGAAGGTATATTCTTTTTCTGTTAAAACAGTGTCTTCAGCCCAGTAGGTAGCATGGTGCTTAAGGCGCTGAGGTCCCTGATTGGATTCTCTGTAGTCTACCTCACTAAAGTGGTCGTGGACCTGCTGCTCTGTTGATTTTTTGGAGGTAAGGAATATCTTCCTTTAGGAAGTCCTTAGCTGTTAGAGTTGAAATTCTGAGAACCAACTGGAGTTGAGAGACAGTAATAAATAAAAGCCACAGTCCAGAGTGTTATAACAAGGTCATTTCCATTACCTTAATGTGCTACAGGACATGTTTGCTCACCAAAGAGAGAGAAGGAGAGAAAGTGAGGAAGCAAGCCGCCAGGTTGGAGACTCAAACCATGATCAGCTGGCTACATAGGAGTCCTGCACCTTTAATACTACTACTACACAACCTGCTGGCCCAGTAAACAAATATTAAAATCTTGGGGATGGCCGGCTATGTGGTGGTAAAGGTGCTAAATTCCCACTGGACCATAGTTTGAGTCCTGGACCTGGCCACTTGCTTTCTCATTTTTCCTCTTCTCTCTCTCTTTCTCTCTCTCTCATCAAATTAAAAGCTAATAATAATAAATAAAACAATTCCTTTTTGTTTTAAAGCATTATTTCACTTTATTTATTTATTTTAATTTGATTAGAGAGACAGAGTTGAGGGAGTGAGAAAGCAAGCTGCGAGGTCCAGGACTCGAACTACGGTCGGCCATGTGGGAGTCCAGCATCTTTAACCATCATGCTACTTGCTGACCCCTAATTCTTTTTTATTTTTTAGATTATTTTATTATTTAACTTTATTTGTTTATTTTAATTTGACCAGAGAGCGAAAGAGTAAGAGAGAGAGAGAGGGAAGGTGAGAAGGCGTCAAGCTGCCGGGTCCAGGACTTGAACCACAGTCGGCCATGTGGGAATTTGCTACCTGCCAGCCCCAAATAAAATAATTCTTAAAAAAAAAAAAACAAAACACAAAACAAAAAACAAACTATGTACTCTGAATGTTCAGTTAAATTAAGCAGAATGTTAACTAATTTAGAGCTTGGATATATTGCCTTTCTACTTTCTC